CCCTCAAACGGATGACCTAGCCCTTCTTTTTCTTTAGCCCTATTGTGCGAATAGCCTGCAAAATTCGGACCGTCGGTGCGACTAGCCACTGCGAACATCCACAGCCTCTGTTTATGTTGAATCTGCGGAACTTCAAAATCTGGCAACCTTGCCTTTGATTTGTTCCCGCGCAAAACGAATCAATATTACATTGCATCGAAAGGAAGCCAAGCTTCGCACAGAGGGAAAGAAGAAGGTACTGCGTTTTTTATTTTAAATTTAACTGTGCATTAGTTTCTCAATGAATGTAAAAGTTGGAATATGCGACGAAGTTTCGCCCCAAGTCAGCTGGCGAAAAGAAAATTATCTCCTCCGGGTAATTTAGAGAAAAGGTGTAGGATTCAAGGTAACACTGTATTAAAAAGTAATAATGATTATTACGATAATAAAGAACATCAGGAGGATAATTGCAAAGATATTGAAATAACCGGAAAGGAAAATTTAAGTCATGAAGAAATTATCAAGCAGATTTTGTGCAAACCTTTTAAAGTACCTATACCAAATTATAATGGCTCTTGTCAACGTCGGTCTTTGGGTATACGACGTTGTGGTGTCAAGCGAGCTTTGCATGACCCTGAAGAAGAAGGTGCATTGGTACTTTATGAACCCAGACTGATTTCAATGCATGAGCAATTAAATGTTTCGAACGCAAAAGTCGATGTGCATGTTGTTGTGGATCCAGTTCTGTCAAAAATTTTACGACCTCATCAGAGAGAAGGAGTGAAATTTATGTGGGATTGTGTTACTGGTAAACAGATAGAGAATAGTTATGGTTGTATTATGGCTGATGAGATGGGATTAGGAAAGACTTTACAGTGCATAACTTTATTATGGACTTGTCTAAGACAAGGCCCTGAAGCAAAAGGCATTATTGAGAAAGCAATAATAGTAGCACCCAGCAGTTTGGTGAAAAATTGGGAAAGAGAAGTGAGTAAATGGCTTGGAAATAGAGTTGGTGTTCTTGCAATGGATGGAGGAACTAAAGAAGAAATTGACAAGAAACTAGAAAATTTTGTTTTTGCTATAGGTAGAAACTGCACTCCGATTTTAATCATATCATATGAAACCTTTCGCCTTCATGCTATGGTTTTATATAAAACTGAAATTGGTTTAGTTATATGTGATGAAGGTCACAGACTCAAAAATTCTGATAATCAGACTTACCAAGCACTTGATAAACTTAATGCAAAAAGAAGGATTTTATTGTCTGGTACACCAATACAGAATGATTTATTGGAATATTTCAGTCTTATACAGTTTGTTAATAAAGATATATTAGGTACTGCACAGGAATTCAAGAAACAGTTTGAAAGACCTATTCTTCGATGTCGTGATATTGATGCGACTCAAGCAGAACAAGAAAAAGGAAAAGAAAAATTAGATGAATTGATTAGTATTGTAAATAGGTGTATGATAAGAAGAACATCCCAACTGCTTTCAAATTATCTTCCGGTTAAAATAGAACTTGTAGTTTGCTGTGAAATGACAGAATTACAAAAAAGTTTATACACACATTATGTGAACTCCCAAGCTGTTTCTAAAGCATTAGATTCAAATAATAAAGTTAGTGCTTTGTCTGCTGTCACTAGTTTGAAGAAAATTTGTAATCATCCCGATTTGATACTTGATCTTGCGAAGAAAAACCAAGATGGTTTACGAAGTTGCTTAAAATATTTCCCACCAAATCATGATGGAAAAAATTTGATTCCTGAATTGTCAGGAAAAATGAAGGTACTTGATGGTATCTTAGCTTTTGTGAAAACAACCACAAATGATAAAGTTGTTCTTGTATCGAATTATACACAAACTTTAGACTTATTTGAAAAACTTTGCAAGTTGAGGCAATATACATTTGTTCGTTTAGATGGCACAATGACTGTTAAGAAGAGGGGGAAAATAGTTGAAAATTTTAATGACCCAAATAGCAATATATTTATTTTTATGCTGAGTAGCAAAGCTGGTGGTTGTGGACTCAATTTAATTGGTGCTAATCGGTTAGTGATGTATGATCCAGATTGGAATCCAGCTAATGATGCTCAAGCGATGGCAAGAGTTTGGCGAGATGGTCAAAAAAAGGAATGTTTCGTTTATCGTTTGTTATCCACAGGAACTATTGATGAAAAGATTTTGTTACGTCAGACTCATAAAAAGGGCTTAAGCAGCTGTGTTGTGGACGAAGAAGAGGTTCAAAGACATTTTAGTCTTTCTGAATTAAAAGAATTATTCCGTTTGGAATCTGACACTTATAGTGACACTCATGATAAAATAAGATGTGCCAGATGTGTTAACTGGATTCAGGTGACACCACCATCTGAAAATGCTACTTGTAATAATGATTTATCGCAGTGGCATCATTCAAAAGATAAAAAAAATGTCCCTGATATAATAATTAAATCCTGCTGGAATACTGGTGTTACATTTGTGTTTCACCAAAAATCCCATGAGAAAAGATTTGTCCCTTAGCATTGTCAAAAAATATTTTGGAAAAATATTTATATAATACAGTACTTAAGTGTTAAAATATTATATTTAAACATTAAATTATTGTATTTAAGTGTTAAAGATATATCATATTTTATGTAATTCATTGCAAATTATGAAAAAATATGTTTGTTTGCATTTTTAAATTACAGATATTTATTTAAATATACATCCTTCATATATTTTAAAATTTTGTAAATAGTAATTAGGATTATTTTGTGTTACATTTGAGCATGAATAATAAATGATGACTTTTAAATATTTTTATGATAAAATAAATTCTGATATCTTTGGATAAAAAGTTTGAAGACGACTACAACTATGTTGATTAAAAAATACTTTTTGGGAATATTATTTGAACTTATTATCATAGTATAGCTAAAAATTAAATGCTGCCGAAGTATCACAAATTTTGCTTAGCAATATTTATGATACTAAATGGATAAAAAGTATCTGGTAAATTCTACATCTTAATATGATGTTTCGCAGAATAAGCATAATTATTATACTGCGTCTAATGCAAAGATAATATAAAGTTTATCTACCCATTGTAAATTTTGTATATATATATATATTATATATATATATGTATAAATCAGATAATGTTGAAATTGAGCATTTTAATATATTTAGTCTGCAAAGTTCAAAATTACTTTCAATGAATGGCCAAACAAACAGTAATTTGCCCACAATAAATGCATGTGTTGTAAATTATGTATATCATACTCAATATTGTTACATTAACAGACATATGGTTATTAGTAAATTAAAAGTTTTTTTTTTAATATTTAAAATGGAATTCATTTTTTTGTGTCATTTATATTTTTCTTGAAAACTATGGTTCATTAGAGGTATAGTTATTTAACCACTTTATCTTTTCTCATAGCAAAGAATATTGCTGTGCAGAGCTTATGTAGGATTTGTATGTTACCTTCCATATATGAATGAATTATTCCAATCCACATTCCAACGAAGTAAAAAATGTCAGATTTATATTCCATAAATATATCGTATTCTGTGTATATTTCCTTTAATAAATTTTGTATTAATAACATACTGAATCATTAATGCTTTGACACCCAACAGTGTCTAGGGTAAAATGTACCAAATACTAAACTAAAATGTACTTAACAAAGTAAAAAGATCTGATTTAATTAATGATACTAGAGTCAGAACATATTCTTACAAATATGTCACATTTGTTGTATACTCTAAATTTTAAGTTTTTAGGCCAAGGAATTACTATTATCTACGAAAAGGTTTTGCTCTGCATTGTTAATGAGAAGTTTTCTGAAAAGAATTAATATTTTGTATATTGCATAATTGTTCAAAGTATTCGTTATTGTTTGAGATGCACACACACACACACACACACACACAAACAAAAGTCAGTACTAGTGAAAATTTCTTCTTGATCGCCGTGTTTGAAAATACTGGCATTTCAATTAAATGTATTAATGTGTTGAGGAATAATCAGAAATTGTATTTTTCTTAGATGGCCATTTGTTATAAATCATGCAAAGTTGTGTTTATTATATAATAGTGCAATAAATTATACTTTAAGTAATAATTTGTATTTTAATTAAAAGTAATTAATACTTTATAAATTTGCTTTGTTTTTATATTTTTGTTAATTTTTTTATGTATTAGTTTGTTCAGAAATAATAGAAATTTATCAGTACTCATAAATGATGAAGAATCTGCTGATTTCAAAATTTTTGAGAAAATTTTTCGCACTAGGATCACCAGCAAAAACTGTTACTTGTTAAAATATCCTTTTCTGTTTAGTCAGTACTGATGTCAATGTATTCATCTGAATAACTGTAAGAAAGAATTTTTATCTTATACAATGTTTTTGGTACATCAAAATTTTTGTCTTTTTCAAATATGATGTCAAATTCACGTATGTATTTTTGTTTTTACACCACATTTTAGTCTTTCTGAGTGAAAAATGATATGAGAAATACTGATGTATATGATCAGTGCATTTTACAGCTTTAATTATAGATATTATATCCATAGATTTATTATAAGAATAGTTAATATTATTTCTGCATTGAATATATATCCTTTATGTTCTGCTTGTTTTAGAAGAACTACATCAAATCTATCCAAAAAAAAAAGTGTTATTATGTCAAATTAATGTGAAAAAAAATATTGAAAAAAGTTTTAAAAAATGAGATTTTATTTGAAACACATGAAATAATTAAAGAACTAAAAGGAGAAGAATAATTTATTATATAATCTAAAGCTAAAAATAGATTAAAATATTCTTTTTACAGAATGCATCTAGAATTTTATATCACAGGTAATAAAGCATGAAGTATCCTGGATGAATTTCTAAAGATAATGGATTATACTTTTGATTATGCCATTAAATTAGTAGATTTTGTTATTTAGGTACCCAAGCTTTAATCATTCAGTAGTAAAATTGTTTATGAATTTGGCACTACTATTCTCATTAATCTACATGATAAATTATTTTTCTTCTTTTTGTTCATAAATTATTTCATATACTTTAAATGAAAGCTTATTTTTTAAAAAACCTTTTTTAAAAATATATTTTCTTTTTATCATTTTGGTGTTAACGAGATGTTATCAATGAAAAAATTCAATTGAAAAATCATTTTTGAACAATGACTAATCACTCTTTACTTCAAACACTGTTATGTAAAGTGGTCTGAAAAACACAGTGATATTGCCAAAAATAAAAAATTACATTAAAAACCTCATGTAAACATATGTTTTTTTTTTTTTTTTTTTTTTTTTTTTTCCATTCTGAATGTGAAGTATAAATTAGTCTCAGTTTATTCATTAAATTAAGATGTATGCAAAAAATAATTTTAACATTAAATTAAAATCTAAATGAAATTTTGAAAAAAATCACTTCGCCACATCGTGCTGTCATCCACAATGATTGTATATGTGAAATTTGAGCTTCATTGCATATCAGGAAATAGTTTCAAAACTGATGGTAAAGTTTAGTTCACAATGACAAACACCACGGGAGAGTTAAATAAATACTTATAAGAATGTGGCTAGTTTTAAAAATGTTCTAGAAAGAAGCATAATTGATACTTTTCTATCATTCTTTGTTTTAAAAAAAGTTAGAGAGTTTGTATTATAACCTTTGAAGACTGCAAATCTTTATAAAAGAATATATTTTTAGATACGAGAATTTAAAGTCCTGTTAAAAATACAATATTATATACCATAATAAAATATCAGCTTTTAAAATGAAATCCAGGTGAAAATGCACATAAACTTTTGAAATGGAAGAAAATTAAAAATGACACTTTAAAATTTCACTGCAAATGATTTTAAATGCTAATCAATCCTTAAACTTAGTTGTTGTTTTTTTTAGACTAATGGAATGAACTGTAAAAAAAAAGGTCTACGCATAAGAAGGGAGGAGAAAAATAGCATTTATAAAATGGTGGAATATTTCTGTGCAAGTAATTCTTTGCAGCAAGGGGAGTGAAGTAATGAAATCATAATGATAGATTTCATTATGATGCTGTACCATCATAACTTTGAAGCTGTTTCCCAGCAATGGCAAAGGAAAAAAACTTTTTTTTTTTTCAAACACTGCAGCCCTTTTCAATTAATGTAGAAAATTCCCCAGTTTAAATTTTTTTATCATTCTTGTTTTAACAGAGAGCAAGGAGTTTCTTTTCTAATTTGTGAAAAGTTAAAAAGTTTTGTAACCAATATATTTTAAATGTTAAATACATAAATGTCAGGTAGCTGGAAAAATCAAACGAGTTTGAAAATTTACCAAAAATCATAAATGATTTTAAAAATTTGATGCATATTTCATTTAAAATTATTTTTCAGCTCTGTTCGATTGTGCAAACAGTAAATTTCGAGATTCTTAATATGTTTGCTAAATGAAGGTACATGCAAAAAATCAATCAAATTAAAAAAAATTTCATCAGATTGCATTGTCATCCACAAACTGGGTGTGTACAGAATATGAACTTGATAACTTATTAGGTGAGAAATCAGTGACAAATTTCTGACAATAGCGACAAACATAATGAGTGAAGTAAATCCTATAAAAATATACCAATTTTCTCTATGTTTACACCAGGTATTAAGTGTCACACAAAAGATAAATTAGTTGCTGGTTAACACTTCATTTAGAACTGCAAGTACAGTTTAAAAAATACTGAGAAGTTGATTGAAGTGAAGAACCCCTAAAGGAAGATGAAACCCATAAATTAAGAAACTATGTTGGTTTATTTGATTATGGCAAAGCTCATGAGGGCTGTTAGTCTAAGGGGAGAGATGCCTTCGTGGAGGATTTTCTAAGGAAAACCACAAAAACACCTATGCAGCCAGCCCATTCACCTGGAATTGAACACACGTTGAGTTACCAGTGTTCAGCAACTTTACTGCTCGAGTAATGGTGGGCACAAGAAACTAAAATCCCATGAACAGAAAAAAAATGCAGACTATCTTAAATGAAGAATTCACCACCCTTCCTAAAACAGAAAAAAACTTGTCTTATCAATTGGTGGACTCTCATAAAATCTACAAGTGTGAAGTAATTGAATGTTTGAATAAAAAGGACATTTCTGTATCAGATAGGTGAGTAGAGAGATTCTCATCCCGTCTCAAAATGAGCTAAAAATGCTTTGCTTTGCTCTCAAAACGTTTACACTATTGTGGAATTCATTTTATTTTATAGGAAGTATTGCATTATTTGAAATGTTTTCTGTTATGGATAGTCTATGATGAAGTTGAAAAACAAGTTCTCAGTTTAACATTTAGCTGCAGTATTCTCTGCTGCTCATTGTACTGCATTAGTTGAAACAATAGTTTGTTATGGATAATGTATAATGAAAATGAAAGACAAGTTGTCAATTTAACAATGAGCTGCAGTATATTATTGCCTCGCGTATATTTTTTATTGCATTTAGTCTAAAATTGTTGAACTGGTAGGTATGGGTGATTAAATTAATGTACTTAAAAAAGAAATAGTTTTGATTTATAATTGAAATCATTAAATATTTTAACTGGACGCAATGAAATTAGATATATAATCATTTTAAAAAGTCCAGTTAGTGAACTGGAGTTATTAAAATTGTTACAGACTTTTTCATTTTCATAAAACATATTTTAGGTGGCAAAGTATAGTTTTTAATATTACTAGGCACTTGCATATCAGGTATAGTTCGACCGTCTTAATAGCAACCTTGGCTGGCATTCTGCCAAAACACATAGACTCGTCCAAAAGGGGCGTTATTACTTGCTGCGACGTGGAAATTCACGTGAAAGTCTTCTCCAGAAAGAATATGTTGCTTGAAGGAAAGAAAGTTCTCATCCTTCCACCCTATTTTGTGAGAATAATTCGGTCCGAATGGCGCATGTGTGTTTGCGCTCATGGTCGCGGATGAGGCGGTCGAACTATAGTGAAGTTTCGTTTGCAGCCCTTGGTATATCTTTACTGAACCATGCAACTCATGAGCGTGAGAAAAGATGAGAAACTACTTGTTTGTGGGGTTTAAGTTTGCTGATCTTAAGGATATATGTCATAATTTGTTTTAATTGGGAAGCACTGCTACTGAGACAAGACTGCATACAGAACATCATTCTTCATAAATATGGAATTTATACCTATTTTAGTAATAAAGGGATGAAAAGATGAATCTATCTTGATACCAAATAGCTGCTAATACTTCATTAGTTTAACGATTCCCAATCTTTTATTCTTTCGCGTATGCCTTAGGGCAGTGGTCAGCAAACTTATTAGCCAAGGAGCCAAATATGAACATTACAACAATTTTTAAAAAAATTGGGAGCCAAATCTGATTGTTTAGTAAACTTTTATTACACTAAATAAAACTAAATTTAGTACTTAATAAATATTTATTAATGCGAACAATGTGCTTGCATCTCCTTGGAAAGTTTGAGTAAGTCAGGTTTGGTTTTTTTTTAATTTTAGGCATGAATTCCAAGTTCTCATAATAAGAACTTCCATTTACTCTTGATAATGTTCATGCTTGAAAAAATTGTTCGCAAAAAGAGTGAAAAAGATTCTTGCGATGCTTCAGCAAGTGAAAATGTTTCCTTCAAATCCGTGCAAAAATGGATAATTTGTTTTCGAATGTTATTACTTCTTCTAACATCGAGAAAATTAAGGTTCCTTTTCCTTTAGTTACGATTAAGCTGATTTAGATGAGACGACGTCTACCAAATAAAAGTTTTGGATCCTGTCGTCTGTTAGTTCGGATAATGAACGTCCTTCTCATGGAGAAGGCTTTACTTTCCGGAAAGGGACGCGAAACGTTTTAAAAGTTCCCTCTTGATAACCAACCTCCTTGTTATGAATCAGAGATCGCGGACTTACTCTCCATTTCAAAAAAATTTTTTGAAATGGCGATGATAAAACTTAGCTAAAATGAATTGATAATGGTAATCACTAATTCCATACTTTACTAATTTCTTCCGGAAAGTTTGCGCACAAAGCGCTTCTTGTTGGAATGATACAATGGTAAACGTTCTCGTGATTATTTTTTCTTTCAAATAGAAACCCCTTTCTTACGCCGGTCATACTTTTGCCCTCTGTTTTGAAATCGACACAATTTATCGAGGGGAATATGATTTTATCCATATACTCAGCATTGGCGCTCTCTTCTCACGCGTCTGACCTTTAGTGGCAAAATCCTAAAATTCTTTTTAGGCCTGAATGGACTAAATCTTACAAAAAGGAAACTTGCGCTGTATCATTTATGTCACAAGATCTCAACTCTATTGATAAAGCCGAAACCAATTTAGATCTTCGAAATGCTAGGTGGTTTTATTCGAACATGGAATTGTTCGATCTTTAATGGTTTTAGCAGACAATGGTAATGACTCTTTATTCTTTTCAGAATATCTGCGTTGTTCTTTTAAATCCCGAAATAGCTTTTCGGATGCATTTATATAAACAATTTTTTATGTATTCGCCGTCTGTGTACGGTTTTCCTCTCTTAGCAATCTCTTGGCTACAAACAAAACTTGCCATATTAATATTGCTGGAAGATTGCATCCAGTTATTAAACACAGAAGTTGACGACTGTTGACTCTTCTGAATTTCCTCACTGCTTTCTTCCTTGCATCACCGGTACGATACTTTAGTGCTAAATGACGCGTGCTTTCTTGTAAAGTGTCTCTCTAAATTTGACTTCTTGTTATGCGCGAATTTCTCTTACAATTAAGGCATGCCGGAAGTCCGTTCAAGTTTTGAATAAACGCAAAATTCTCGTCCACTCAAATTTAAATGCGGTTTCATCTTCCGTTTTCTTTGCTTTTTTTTTTTTTTTTTGGTAACATGTTAAGTGGGGTGCCTATAAAATATCCAAAATATTTTTTTAAAGCCACCAGTACAAAATTATCATTATTAAATTGATGAAAATAAAAAAAAAAAAAAATATTTTTAAGAAATACAATTTATTAATATAGTAACTGCACTAAAAGAAAAAAATAATTTTTTCCATCATAAAATAACAAACTTTTAATATGACAAAAGGAAGAAAACTTCCACATTTGGACAAATGGAAGTTATCGAAAATCGAACAATTTTGTACCGGACCACAAACATACATAGAAGGTGTAATGAAATCGTATAAAAATAACTGTAAGATGTGCAGCTATATTAAAAAATACAACTTTTTAATAAGACAGGACAACGGCAAACACGGTAGATAAGAAAAAACTATTCACACTGTAACTGCTGCTCTGTGATGCCAATCTGT